TAGATTAACGTAATATTACAGTATTCAAGAAAGGAGGAGCGATCATTTAAAGGGCTGCCATGCAACATAATGAGGAAAGTCAGGTGGTTTTGGTGTTGGTGGTCCCCCTGGGAGATAACTCTGTGACGTTACAACCGGGCCACCACTGCCAGATGAATAAAATCACCTGAACACTTAAATTGATTTTACGATTTTCTCGGTGTTTATTGCATCATATCATTTCAGTCATTAGTTCTTGTTCTTATAATATGATATGAGTCGTTTGATATTTCGGCTAATCTGCTACCGACATTTACCGAGTGAGTGATTCCGTGAGTGAGTGAGTATCAGTCAGTTAGTCAGGTAGCCAGTCAGGAGTACTGTAAGCAACTTTTTAGCTTCAATTTCAGATCCGCCAGATCTGCGGCTCAATTGTTGTAAAGTTGTACGGTAGTCAGCAAAGTGAAAACTTTCGTAACCTCTACAATTTTTGTTTATCTAGCGATAAGTTTTGAAAACAGTTCTATTTAAATAAATGTGGATGTTGCCGGTTTTCCATTTTGATTCAACGTACAATTTTCTCACAAACTGGTTACGAGTTGGCAAATGTGTGTATTAGTTATCTACTGACCTTCAGTGATTCAAACAACTTTCTCAATTCTCCTTATCTTCCGTGTGGCTACGAAATGGGACACTGAAACCATGTTTGTATGCGCCCGGGGAGCCAAACGGGACACACTTCAGTGATGTGCTTAACGTGACAATGAGAGAAGCTTGTACAGTCCATCCGAGTTACGTGTGATGAAGATTAGGCGCGTCGTGCAGGTCACCCCTTAGTATGGCAAGTTTGTGAGAACATTCAAGCGACAGACTCGTTCACTTAATTAGACAAACAGTCTTACACACACACACATCCAGAAGGGGCTAATGCACAGCTCCGTTTACCATCGAAGTTGACAACCTCAATTTTTCCATCACGTACGGATACCTGAGTGCGTACGCCTTATCCATTTCTAATGGACATCAACCAAGTACAACAGTTTAATTTCGTTGCATCATCTGTTTTGGAGGGAGGGAACGGATATGGAATTTGTCTAACCGTAACTATTATTTGCTGGATTGTGAGTTTGTATGTATTTGTGTGTGTGTGAGTGTATTTGTATGTATGCAAACTCATTTATCGGTNCGGTCAATATTAAATTTAGCTTCAGATACGAGAAGACTCGCAAGTATTAGATTGTGGAATTTGAGATGAACACTGCTCCTCAGGAAAAGCAGTAGTTCTGCCCTAATGAATACAGCGTGCAGCCGTGTTTGAACGCATCCTGAATTGTTGTTGGTGTACCACTAGGGTTTACTTACTGCACGTGAATGTGTTTGCCCAGATTGCAAAGTTTACTGTATTGGGTTGCTATCGGTTATATACAAATGGGAATAATTTGGCATTTTTATTCAAGATCAATGAAAACGGTTCTTTACACGGCACGTGATGAAAAAGTCTAGGTATATACACGTGGCATGCTATTCCATCCTTCTGCTGTCCCCGTTTTTCTAACGGGAAAATTGCGCTCTTCTGTGTCGCAATATCTTGAAGTGATCTTCCTGGTTGTTTACAAGTCGATCTGCAGCTATCCTGCTATTTCTTTACTAGCTGCCCTAAACTTTATCACAGGTAGCACTTTGTCACACTACGCATATGTATGCATTAAACTCGTTGCATGGGCTCCTTTTAGACTCCGATCAGGTGTCTTCTTCCTCACCTTCTGTCGGTCACTAGGCATGTAGTGAACAAGGTCTGTTGGGCACAGTGTTTATCCACAGTACAGTACCCTGTGCATACATGTTGGAAGAATCTATTGCCTTTAAGTAATAATACCATTCAATCATTTGCCGGAAGAGCACAATCTTCCAGAGCAGTATTTTCACATTGAAAAAGTGTGGATAGAATCCATTCAGGCAGCAGCATGTTCTGGAAAGTTAATTGGATAGCGTCGCCGGACTTTCACATTCTTCGATCCGTGTTTATTTCTTACGAAATAACCCGTTGTGAGGTGAACCCATTGACGAACAGGGGATAGGATAGATTGGCGGTTGAATGTAACCACAAGCCTTTCAAATTGAGTGAGACCTGTCTGCGTGTAATAACTGTGATAGCCGGGTTTCAGGTGCTGTCATTGAACAGACGACACATTTAATATATAAAGTGTCCAAAGTAGCGCACGACATTGGACGAACGCTCGCTTTTCTGTCATTCACTTTTTCATTCGCTTTAAGTGAAAAGCACAATCATGTACAACGGAGCAGACTCGCATACCTCCAAGCTAAACTGCCAGTTTGCCCTGCTCTTCCCGATTTGAATTCGTCCCATATGTTGGCCGATTTATATGGCGATAATAAAATTTGGACTTCTGTGTTTTAAGGAGAAACGGAATAATATTCTTTGTCCGAAACCTCTCACCGGAATCTTCACGCAAAAGCTGACAGCCTGAATGCTCTCCCTAAAATGTGCACGGATAGATGATAGCCGAGCTGCTTCAACAAAGGATTTGTATGAATGTGGTTGTAAATATTTGAGTGCGTTTTTGGTTTTACAGCAACTAACATCTGTCACTGCACGACGGTAATCACGGAATACTGTGACAATTAACAAGGTTATACTAAATTGCTCTCGGTCCACAATAGGGTGTTTTACCAATATTTCACATTCGTGGTCGTTCCTTTATAGGACTCGAATATAGTCATCTATGTTATTATTGATTTTCCAGTTTCTGTTGTGATTTTGCCATCGATTTATTTGAATCAATAACTTCTATTCGATCACTTTTGCTTCCATTGTTTCTCTCTTTAAAATCATTGTCACTTTGAAAGTGATTGCGGTTCAACTAAAGATTACCCTTGGATGACAGGCCAGTAGATGATCTCTTTACAGCTTAACCAATGATTATGTCAGCTGTGGATATCGTTTTTCACACCTGAACGTGGTCTGTTTCAAGAATGCATATGGATGCATACTGAAGAACATACGGAGATATTGAATGATACTATGGTTCAAATGCAGTTGATGTAAAGATTAGAGAAATGGAATGCGCTGCTTAAGGCCTAATTTGAATTTTTTTCTGGTCGTATTCTTAAGAGAAAAGTACCAGGTCACACAGCCGCTATCTTGTTAGTCACTTTCATCCTCGACGAAGTTTTCGAATCCAGATATTTGGTTGACCTCGGTGTGATTAACTCTGACCATTCTCGTCTGTTATTTCTTAACTCACATTCGATTCTGTCTCTATGCCACCCCTCGCGATTTTGGTATTTTAGTAAAACATTGGGAATAACATTTTACCAGACTTCTGTTTCCCGTGGTTCAACCGCATACAATATTTTCCTATGTTTTAGATTGCTTGAGTGCACGTGCAACAAAGCATAAGGGACTGACGGATTTCTTGTACAAATCGGCAAATGTGGCTCCCCCGTCTCGGTGTGCGCACTCATTTGAGAGCGTTCGAACTGCACGGCAATTTGTTGGCGGAAGTGAGCTCACCGCACACGAGTCTGACCATTGCGTGCAATCTTAAATTTTCCGCTTCGCTTGCACCCGCTCAGAGGGGGGCTGTTGGCTGAGGCCAACAACAAAGCAGGCCGGGCGACTCCTGCTGGGTCGCGTTATCGCATGATCTTCACCAAACACAGTTCAACATTCACGTTTCGTTTTGGTCCACGCATTGGTTAGGAGGTAGTTTCTCTCGACACAATGCGTTATCAACTGAGTTAGACCAGAAAACCCTGTTCTGTTTTCTAACTGACCGATAAACTCGAAAGCAGGAGGTAGTAAATGGTAGATTATTCAACATTGAGTTCCTAGTCAAGTTGGTAGATTGTGCACCAAAATTTGAGTGCACACCTAAGACAAAGTGTATGATCAACCATGGGAACAAAACACATCCATAGGTTGATTTGAGAAAAAAAGATCATTCCTAACCTAAATAGACCATTACTTTTGGCGGAATCAGTTATTCTACAACATCGTGTGATGATGGTGTGAATAACACGGTTACGCGTAAAACTCTTTGGCTCCAATCGGTAGTAAATTGCGTTCATATATTGGCTTTAGTCCCGCCAGATTTGGATTGAGTCCTTTAAACGAGTATCATGAGAGCTATTTTATCTTGATTTTTATACATATATATATAT